TTTTCTTTCATCTCTCTCTTTTTCTTTTTTTTCTTCTTTCTTTCTTTCTTTCTTTCTTTCTTTCTTTCTTTCTTTATTTATTTATTTATTTCTCTTTCTCTCTCTCTCTCTCTCTCTCTCTGTGTTTGTGTGTGTTTGTGTGTGCCAGTGGTGGGTTTCAAAAATTTTTGGAACCTCTTCTGTGGTTCTGTGGCCTGCTTTCCGGGTCCACTGGTGGAACCTCTTCTAACCGGTTCGGTAGATTTGACGAACCGGTTTTACCAAATAGGTGCGAACTGGTAGGAACCCACCTCTGGTTCTGTTTAAAGATGAAATGTGGAAAGCAAAAAATGGTACCTTCCCGTTCAAGACCAAGTGATGGTTCTTTAATTAACTGCCCTTGGTGTAAGGGAGGGAGGAGTGAATGGACTCCCAGGAAGAGATCTGCCAGGATAAGATTTTGTCTTGTTGATGGACAATCTACAACAGGACACTTCCACGAGTGAAGCGCAAACAGAGATAAGGAAATCAATTATGACTGAAGAGAATATCTGTACCTCAGAGATGAATTGTGGGATTCTTGGTGTTCTCAAGGTGGTTATTTGCTTACAAACACTTCATTAGTCTACTAGGTAACATTATCAGTGCAAATTTCATCCCCTCCCCTGTCAACTTATATGCATATATGTCTTACAATATATTGCAGGGAAAGGAGAAGTACTCTTGCTTAATTACTTTTTGCATTCTACGGTGGAGTTCACATTTTATTTTATTTTTATGGGTCCATAGTTGAGTTCACAAGTTATTTTATTTCTGCTGATTTCCCATTTACACAGCTACCTTTAGGCTAAAGGCCCTTCCCCACCTTATTATTTATTTATTTTACCTTTAAATGGCCCTCCTTTGATTGTGAGAGCCACCTTGCCTTCCTGGTTCAGATACCCAAACCATTCTCCCGCCAGTCCCGGATCACGGAACTAAGGATTAAACAAACACGATAGCAATTACGCTGGGTAATATGGAACAACCAAACAGCAGGGCAGAAGTGGAGAACAGGATGCTGGACTCCAGATAAAGGAGAACTGAAGTTCAGTGGACACTAATGCAAGTAATCCTTGACTTGAAACCATTTTTAATGAGTCTATGAAGTTACACTTGCACTGAAAAAAAAGTGACTAATTTTCACACTTGCAAACTGTTGCCGCATTCCCACGGTCACATGATCAAAATCTGGATGCTTGGCAATTTATTTAGGACGCTTGCAATGTCCTGGGGTCATGTGCCTTTTGTGATCTTCTGACAAGCAGAAGTCAATGGGAAAACCAGATTCACTCAACAACCACATTACTAAATTAACAACTGCAGGATTCAATTAACAACTGTGGCAAGGAAGGTTATAAAGAGGGGGGGGATTCATTTAACAACCATCTTGCATAGTAAAATAAATTTTGGATTCAACTGAAGTCATAAGTCAACGACTAACAGTATATTATCTTTTAACACTGTGAAGATAACATACAATTATTTCATATAGGCTGTCAATTCCGGATATATTACAAAGGGACACAAATAGGAGCCACACTTTCAAAAGTGATTGTTCCCCAACTCCTGCACTCTATATCATAATTATTATTATTTTGCATATACAGAAAAAAAGAGAAAAAGAAGAAGAGGAGGGAGGAAGAGAAAGAAAGAGAAGGAGAGAAGGTAGGAAGGAGAAGAAAAAGGGTAGGAGTAG